GCCGCGGACTTTTATCTTTTACACTAACATGTTTTATATGCTTCTAGCACAATATGCTTCTAGCATACCAAATCATCAATGATATATTCAATATGAATATGGGGCTTAGTCACTCTTTTCTTGGCAGATTATCATGTGAACTTCTGGTTCAGTTTGACTAGTACGTGGATATAAATATTGAAGATCTTTTTCACCAATGGAATTTCTTGACATTATTTTGTATTTTGGGCACTAATCTCCCCCTAATATCGAGAATTGATCTTCAATAAAAATGCAGTCAGCGTACCAAATTATAAATTGATCTCCTAACATGGGCCATAGGTACTAAATTATTGACGGAGTTTCATAAATAATGTATGTACCTTCACCGAGGTCCCATAGAGGTACGCTATGGTGGTGATATAGAAACATGGACTGCAAATAAAGAATACGCAGATGGGAAATGTTTCGCTTCTTCACCACGTATTAGATAAAGGGGGAAAATTGTGATATGCAGTTGGTCGGATTTGGTTTGAATGCCCCATTTAATTTAAGGAAATCCGACAAATCATATTTTGCCAAAGATTACCCAATCGCTCATGCCAGAATTTAAAAGAATTTGGGTCCCTAAATCTCAAACTCATCGCAACATGTTGTAATCTCGTTGTTGTATTTTAGGTCAGACAAATTCTAAAATATACACATATGAATAAAAACCACATAGGTTTATAAGAGTTTAAAGCAAAAATCAAGATAAATTAAAATTATCTGACAAATGCATATAATCCAAATATAGAAAAACCAAATACTTGACCTTGACCACCTCAATAAGATCTACTACCTCCCCCTCGTCCGAGCTTATGAATATTAATTTGAATTATGACATGTGCTTCAGGCACTACGACTGAACCAATTAAACTTGCATTATGGTTTCTCACAACAGTTGGTAGTGTTTTTAACAACTACTAATGCAAGGATTAGTTTATAATGCTTTTAGTTGTACTATTGTAAGAGTACAAGGTTACTTGTTGAATTGTATTCAGTCGAGTGTTTAAAATCCAAAAATGGCTACAGGATAAGATCTCCTACTATGTTCATAGCCTCCCCCTTGTCCACGCGTATAAGTAATTTTCTGAATTGTAGCATGTGCTACAAACACAACTCGTAATCCAACTAGTCTGACATTGTGATTTCTAATCATCAATTGATTGTGCTTCTCTGTGACTACTAATGTAGATATCAATTCAGAATGCTAAGTGCAATTCTTAGTCATGTACTGCTGCTGGAGTACAATATTATTTTTTTTTTTGTGAAATGGGGAAAAGAACTTTTTGATTAATTTTGTCACTGTCTGTAATGTTCTGCTTACAGAGTTTCAGCTACTAGATAATGTGGTACAGAACTGAATCATATTTAGTCATGTATTTCAAAAAAAATTCCAGATTCAGTTTTTCAATTGCGCTTAAGGGAGGATTATTGGCTTTCATAGATCAAAGCGATCCTTCAGGGATTGCCATAGAATAACAGGATTGATTTTTTTTTAGGTACTCATTTTTCAAGTCTTTATTGAGATGATGACGAAGAAAAATCAATGCCTTTGCCTTTTGGGCAGAGGTCCTCTAAGAAAATGGAGCAATAGTGCTACTTAAATAATACATCTGTTGAATAAGCACAATCTCTTGAATAATATATCTGTTGCTTCAATACTTTTTTTTTAAGTTATAACTTTCCTGGAGAAAATCTGAAGACATATGACACAGGCTTATTTAGAGTAAAAATAAAAATGCCGAAAGGAGGTTGAATCTACTAAGATAGACTAGAAATAAAATTAATAAGAAAACGAAGCAGAAAATAAAAATAATTCTAAGCAATATTTTATAAGCAAGCACAATGATACATTAGAATAAGACCCATAGCATACTGAGGCTCAAATTCATATAAAATGGGATGCTAAGAGAACAATGTAGAACCAACAGCTTGCCTAAGCCAAGGAATAATCAGATGAGAAATAAAATACATCCTATTCTTCATGCTGTGGAGCCTAGGGTTCTAGACAACTCATATCTACTACCACCATACATAAATAAACATACACATTGGTTCAGGACTAGTTTCTTTTCTTGTCTCCTTGGACCTTCAATTACTCAAGCATGCATTTATTATTTGAAGGATTCAAACAAAAGTATAATGGATCATTGAGTCTTTCATATGCTTGGATTCCTGAGACATTCACATGCATATTAATCTTCAAGAGTTAATACCGGATAGTAGTTGAATACACTGTTAAATTTACACGACAAAAGTAAACAACACCTATAACAAGTAAACTCTAAAATTACCCTGTTAATATGAATACACTTAATAGGATCACGGTGTATCAAGCTTGTGACATGTTTATTCTGGTGGACAAGTCAGTAGAATAGTTTTTAAACTTATACGCAGAGATGTGCTATGAAATGGCAAGCTCTAAACTGTGAGTTTTGCATAAGATGGAAATACACTTATGAGTAAAAAATCATTCCCTATCAGTTCTTAAAACCATTTAACTACTTTAGTTATATATGAAATAAAATGAATGCAAATCTCTTTTAAAAGCATGATCAGCCTTGGCAAACATTGATTGGCCAAATGCAAGTTAAATACCATTAAACTTTATGGATTATAAGACAAACCTTACGAAGTTGATCTTCTGAAATGTTGAAATACAGATTGCCAACATAAATTGATTCTTTTATGCTTCCGACGGTTTAACCATCACAGGTTGACCTTTCCGGCTTTCGAGAAGAACTCATAAATATCTCTTTCAATAGTCGTCCTTCCTCTTCTCCTTGGGGATCTCGACGTCCTCCACTATTTTCTCCAAGTAATCGTACTCGTCGAAGTACAGCTCTCTTGACGAATGGAATCGTTGGAACTATGAAACCCTAACCCACTGAAGAGCTAGCAGTTGACAGCTTTCCTGACGAGTACAAACCGGCTAGCTAGAGCTTTCGTGATGATAACGTGTTGTAATCTTGTTGTTATATCTACATACATCACATATCATAAGTAAGAATCGAACATGAAATGTAAGAGTAAATAAATAGAGAAGAGAAGAAATAGGGAGAAAAGTGATTCTCATTTTATTCATCTTCCTCATTTCTCCTCAATACATTTTGTCTTCCATGGATTACATTATATAGATGTGGAAGAGAATACTAAAAGTCACAAGTAGGTGAAGAGTCTTCTTCTAGTAATGTCCACATTCATTGTATTTATATTTACAACAAACTTGAATTTTTTTTATTTTGAAAAACTATAGTAAACCTTAAATTATAAGCTATATTTATATATCTTAATAAAAGAATATCAAACAATTACTATTTTCTTTGCCAAGTTTTAAAATTTTAGCTTTTTATTTTGTGTAAGTTTAAACTTTTGACAGTATTTTGTCTAGTTTTTAAAATTTTTACTTTTTTCATAATACTTCATGTAATAAACTGATATCACGGAGCTGTTTTATATATTTTATTAATCTTATTTAAATTATTGAGCTATAGATAGTTCATGGGGTATTAGAATAGGATATAACTATTCTTTTTTAAGTAGGTATGTAACTGAATGAGAAATTTCTTTACTTGTATGATTAGATATATTATAATTTAAATTAAATATTTAAAATAGAATAGGGTAATTTTGACTATGGAAAGCTTTTCCCGAACTCATGCTTTTAAAGGGAGTATGATTTTAGTTTTCCTTATTTTTTTTATTTTGGGAATGACTTTTGTCTTTTTAATTTGTTTGGTGGCTTTTGTAAATATCTCATCCACATTATGTACATTTGTAGGTCTATGTTATTCCTGGGTTGGACCTTTGAGGCAGACACTATTTGTATCATAAATTTATTTGGTTTTTGCATATACGCCCTTCATTTTGTAGACATTTATAAATTTGGCATCTAATAATTTTATTTAGATTTACATTTCAATTTAAACTGTATCATTATCTTCATACTATTTATATCCAATAAGAATTCATCAATTTATCAACTTACTCTTACTTAATGGATTAATATTTGAATTCTAATGGTATTTTTGTCTACTGGAAAATTTTTCTGAACTCGTGTTATTAAAGAGAGTATGTTATGATATGATATATTTAATGATATTAGAATATATCCTTATTCTAAGGGGGTAACCAGTAAAATACACAAAAAATGACACTTATTTAATAAAAGGTACAACAACACATCTTTAGGCGACTCACCCATGGTTGCCACGAGAACAGTGATGCCAAAAATGAAAAGGGTATATAAGTGCAAAGTAGGTGAAACTACAGGGTATGTAAGTGCAATTAAGCCATTTCTATTTGGTTAGGATTCAAATCCTATGGCCAGCAGGTAAAACAACAAAACATATTTGTAATGTTTTTTTTTTCATTGGGGTTATCTGGCAAAACTTTTTTGGCAGTTATTTGACATTTTTGGTGTTATTTCAAACAGAGCTAAACTTTTGAGGGGTTATGTGAACTTGAGCAAATAAGTTGTGAGATAAACAAGAATAAAATTAGCGCGAATGTTATAACATAAGTAGTGATCCAAACGTTTATTCATAGAAAAAAAGACTTATATCAGATTAATAATATACACTAGTATGAAAACTTCCATAATCACTTTCCTGGAAGCTTATTTATCGATTAGTATTTTAAATTTGGGAAAATCTGAAGGAAAAAAACATGATAGTAGCATATTTTGAGCTCTTATCTTGGCGATGTACAGCTTATATATTAGTTGAATGGCTTATTAAGCTGTGGAGCAGTCCTAAAGAAATATATTTAACGTGTTTCTTTTTCTCAACGAGATAAATTAACAAGAACAAAATTAGCCAAATATTTCATGGTGGAGAGCAACTCCGACCTTCTCTCTTCCGGAGGTCAAAGCAAGATAATAGCTACCCAAAACACAAACTAAGTCAAAACTCTATTTCCCAAAATATTAGTTTCAAAAATAATTTCATCAAAATTAAAAGAAAATAACAAATGAATGACAATATGAAAACCTTGTTCTCCTATCCATCGTTTCCGGCCTCGCCAACGGCTGGAGGGGCCATCGCCATTACATGGGGCCTACCAGGTTCAGACGATGAAACAATGCTAAGGCTCGAACGTGGCGGTGGATGCTTTGAAGAGTCTCTTATAATTTTTGGGTTAATATCGGTTCAAGTTATTAATGCCATTTATATGGTTATGTTGACTCCAATTCTTGCAAGCGGAGTCAGGCCTCTATTTCTCATTATTTTTGCTTGCTCGGCCACTAGCATTTTCGCGTTGCCCTTTGCCATTGCATTTGAAAGGTTAGTGTTCCATATGAAATGTTGGTTTTTCTTGCTTTTATGGTGATAATTTTGTGTATTAATATTGTTTACATTATATATTTTTCATTTGTAGAAAGAAATGGCCGTCAAGATTTGCCCCCAAATTGATAGCTCAAATTTTATTGATATCACTCCTTGGGTAAGTCATTTTATCAATTTCGGGCCCTTTTTTTGGTAAGTTAGTTATATTTTCATGGGTTTTTCTAAAGGGTGCCCTAGGACACCTATTAATTTGGACATGGCATACCATATATACTAATGTGCCATTATTAGTTGCTAATTGTCAATTTATTGTGGACATGGCACCTTATTGTCAATTTATTAAACTCACGTTTCCATTAAGAACTGAGTATATAATAGACATTAGCAAGAATAAAAAAGAAATTAAAATAGTAAGGAAATTTTTCTATTTATCTCTTTCCACTTCTCTCTAAATAATATTTTCCCTGCAAACAGAATGCTCTAAATAATATTTTCCCTCCAAACAGTAATTGAAAAGAACTAAGCAAATTATGCTAAGGAACACAAGTATTTGAACCATGCACAAATATTTTTTTTTCATTTCAACTAGGAGTTCTTAACTTATCATGGAACTATAATTTTTTAATTGAAACTAATAAATTAGAGACTTCTTTAATTTTATTTTTTTCTATATAAATGAAGACAATTTGAGTTTTTTTTCTTTATATTTGTTAGAGGGAAAATATTGTTTGGAGGGAAGTAAAAAAGAAATAAATGGATATTTTTCCTTTACTATTTTAATTTTGTTTGTGTCATAATAATGTCCTGAATATGTTGTTTTTCACGGATATGAGAGTTTAGTAAAATGACAATATAAGCACAAACTAAGGGGAGCCTTAATTGGTAATTAGCAACTAATAATGGGTCATTAGCATTAAGGTTGCCCTAGGGCACCCGTTAGAAAAACCTAATTATTTAACAGTAATGAAGTGAAAAGGAAAACTGTTAAGTACAATATAGTGACTTGGCATATATCTTCAGTCAACTATACAAAACATGAGAGAAACAAACTGTTCTCTCAACAACAAATACACACAAAAAATGATAATCGATACACAAGAGCAGCAGCTCATCTATTTGACACAAACGTATGCTCAATCCTCATTGCTCAACACCAATCACAGTTGAACCGGATATCCTTGAGTTTCTCAATCTTGTTGCAGGGAGTTTTAATCTCAAGTAGGTTCTGCTACACTCTCATCCACAGTGATACATTTATGTCTCATGTAGGGTTCTGCTACACATGTTATATGCACGCTACAGCTAAGGCTTTTTGAGTGCAGTGAATAAGAGATGAGCCTTTCATAAATTTCTTCACTCAAGCAATAATTTCAAGCCATATATACGGGGGATTAGAAATTTGGACAAACTCCATAGTGAGTTTTCATATTTTAGAACTACAGTCACGTTCAAAGAGGAGATAATCCCTAGTTTCAGCATGATTTGAACAAAGAAGGCAAACATCCTCATGAAAAATCCCAAACCTTACGAGTTTATGCTTAGTGGGAAGTCTATCCAAACAAGAAACCCAAAAAAAAAAGTGTTTAATTAGGGATTGTGAGTTTTGGCCATAGAAGATTTAGTCCATTTCTACCTTCCACCAACAACAGCAAACATTATAAGCTGTATACATACACTAGTAGAAAAACGACCAAACTAGACGGAATTTTCCGTCTAGGTTGTTCCATTTCCCATCTAGGTTGAGCAACCTAGACGGAGCTCCGTCTAGGTTGATTCCATCTAGGTTAAGACAAACTGGACGGATTTCGTCTAGATTTACCAAACTAGACGGAAAGCAACCTAGATGGAATGTGAATATCGTCTAGACGGAATTCTGTCTTGGTTGCTTACCTATAGAGAATTTCGTCTAGGCTGCAATAATGGGTCGTCTATCTTATATTATAAGTCTAATTTCTTTAATCGTATAATATAAAATAAACGATCATTTCTAGGAGAAAATTCCGTCTCCTACTCAAATATGAGTCGTCTATCTTATATTATAAGTCCAAAGAATTAGATGTAATTATTGGACGGAAGTCTAGGGATAAAGTTATTTTTTCATTCACCTAAATTTGATTATAACACATTATTAAAAATTATAATGTGTTATATATCACTCTATTTATTAAAAAAAAATTATTTCACATATTTTCACATCACAAACTTAAATAATCATACCTACTTATAGCAAGAACCAAACTTAGTGTGATGGACTATCATGGATCGGGTGTTCAATTAGGGTTAATTGTTCACAAGTGCAATAATTATATTTACGATTACTTGTGTTGTTCAAATGGGCCGGCTAAAATGTATTTGAGTTAGGGTTTATACATAACTAAAAAATTTTCAATTAGGGTTATAAGAATCGATTTCGTTTATTTTTTATCATAAATTAGAGGTTTTAAACTAAATTCAACAATAAATAATATAATATTTAAAAACTCTAAAATTTTCATAAAAATCATACATTTTTAAGGAAATGAAAAACAACGGGTGTGTCGGTGGTCCTGGAGAAAGATAGTTATGAGAACTGCACGTGGAGGGGAAGCTAGGGTTTTTTTTAACTGAAGGGGAAGAGTGCAAGGGGCGAGGGGGGGGGACAAGGGAGGAGAGAGCCCTGCGGGAGGGGAAAGTGAAGGGAGAGAGGGTGGCGGGCGCGAGAGGTGGGGGCGGTGGAGACGAGAGGGTGGAGATGGCGGAGGAGAGAGGAGAGAGGGCGAGAGAGCAGGAGGGTGGGGGCGACGGACGAGAGAGGAGGTAGGGTAGGGCGGTGGATGAGAGATGATAGATCTAGAGGGGAGAGAGGAGAGAGGGTGGGGGCGGGCAGCAGAATGAGAGAGAGAGGAAGAGTGAGAGAGTGAGCGCCGGAGAGGAGAGAGAGAGTTCGGGCGACGGACGAGAGAGGAGAGAGGGGATTTTTTTCGCTGGGGGAATTTGGGAACATAAGAAGGGAGTGTGTTTCCTAGTGCGGGATGGGGGCAGGGATCGGTAGGGGTTTTTTTTCTTTTAATATTAACCTAGACGGAACGTCCATCTAGGTTGCAACCTAGACAGAACGGTCATCTAGGTTGAATTTTATTTTCTTATTTTCTTTTTTAACGTAATCTAGACGAAATTTTCATCTAGGTTGCAACCTAGACGGAATTTTTGTCTAGATTGCATTTTTGCTTTTAAAAAATAAAAACTTTCGTCTAGTTTGGCATTCTAGACGAAAAATTCAATCTAGAATGCCCCAAACTAGGCGGAAATTTCCCGTCTAGTTTGAACCAACCTAGACAGAAAATTTTTTCGTCTAGGTTGTTCCGTCTAGTTTGGTCGTTTTTCTACTAGTGGTACTATATTCTAGATTGCTCCTCTCATGTATACTCTGAGTCATTAATTTCAACACACTTTAGAACATCATCCCTAAGCTTCAACATTGCCATGAGAACTAAGGATTGACATAGATGCTCTTGTTGTGCGTAGCGGAAATTTCGGCAGCACTTCTAGTGCACAACAAGAGAGTAAGATCATAACTAAATCATTGTTTCACAAAGGAAATAAGAATCGAAAGTAATATATCTCAACAAAGTGGGATATACACTCTTCCTCTCATCAGTTATAGGACTGACTTATCGAGAAAACCTACAAACTATTACAAATCACAGCAAGACAAACGAATTTTACGTGGTTCGGCAAATTGCCTACGTCCACAGGGCAATAAGGGGGAGATCTACTATTAGAGAGAGAATACAAATAGAGTTTACAATCGTACAAATTAAACCCTCAAACAAGCTCTCAAATCTCTCACAAATATCTCCTCTTAAAACAACTGACACCTCTGTACTTCTTCCCAAAATAAAGCCTAAAAAAATCTACTTCACACTTGCTCCTTGTACGAATCTGCTGCCCACCACTTCAAAATCTGCTCCTTTTTTCGTGTGCCCACGAATCAGTCGCCCCTATTTCAAAACCTGGTCTCACATTGGTTTATATAGTCTTGAATTGTTTGGGTAGGCCGCTAGAATTGGGTGGGCCGCATTCATTAACATGATAGCCCAACGTTTACAATTCTCCACCTCGGTAAAGTTTCTCCAAAAAAACTAAGCTGACACCAAAGCATCCAAATATCCTACTTGTAGTGTCCAGTATGTCGTGAAGTTAATTCACGACAACGGACTCAATCAACAATAAGTCGGTAATCCGAATGAGAGTCCAAACAATCTCACCTTATCAAAATCAACTAATCTAAACCGGCGTTATCATAAAGACTGCATACATATCCTCTTGTTCAATGAATCAAGCCTCACGTAGTTCACCCACATGGCCTCCAAATACCTCAACATCGAAGAATGTTCAAAAGCTCCAAACAATGACCAAACTTGACACCTGAAATAACTTTGTTTAACATATCCGCAGGGTTGTCCTTTGTGTTCATCTTCTCCAATATAACATCTTCATCATCCAAGACATCACGAACAAAGTGGAATCTGACATCAATGTGCTTCGTGAGTGCATAATAGACCTGGTTCTTCACCAAATAGATAGGTAACATACTTTCACAATATATGTGAATGGTCTCCTATGATATCCCCAAGTCCTCCAACAATCCATGCAACCATAAAGCCTCCTTTATAGCTTTAGTCACCGTCATATACTCCATCTCTGTAGTAGAGAGAGTCACTGTAGACTAAAATGTACATCTCCAACATACCGATGCTCTTTCTAATGTAAACATATATCCTGAAGTAGATCGGTGTTTATCAAGATCCCCCGCATAATCTGAATCTACATAGCCAATACAATCATGTCATGTCTTCTCATTCTTCTAAAAAATTAAACCAACATTCATGGTACCTTTGATATACCGTAGAATCCACTTTACGACCTCCCAATGACCCTTCCTGGGGTCATGTATGTACGTGGATACCATACTCACGGCTTGTGATAAGTTTGGCCTTGTACACACCATAGCATACATCAAGCTACCCACCGTACTGGCATATGGAACATTCGATATGTAATCTCTATTCTCAACTGAAACAAGTAACATCAAAGCTGAAAGCTTGAAGTGGGGAGCCAATGAAGTACTCACTGCTTTTGCATTACCATCAAAGATGAATTTTTTCAACATCTTCT